AAAGGAGAATTATGAGGTGAGTAAAAATCACTCGCCTCATAGTTCTAGCCGACCTGTGACAATGAGACGGTCACAGGTCGGCTCAGTAGATCGGGAAGTGAGCGAACACATACCGGCGCTCGCTCGCTCACTTCTCAATCGTCCCTGCAGAGAGACGTGACTGTCACTCACGGCTCCCTGCAGGGATTCCCCTCTCCGATCCTCCAGCGCTGACTGGCGGAACGGACGGGGTATTACAGCAGAGCCAGCTGTCGCTCACGCAGCTGGGTGGATCCAGACTGTAATGTCGGGATCCGTCCCGGCTGCAGCGTCTCAGTATACCGCGAGCTGTAGCTCCCTATATACTGAGCTTTGGGTGAGGGGAGGACGCTAGCTTGTGTCCTCCCGTTACCCTTATGAGAACTATGGGGAAAAGACCTAACCTCATAGTTCTCCTTTTAAGTATTTACCTTCAATACGTCTGAAGATCAAGTTAATATTTTATTACTCTTAGCTAATAGGTAACTATTGAATTTTTCAATACTTTTATGAACTGAGGAAGTGAAGGTTGGGGGTTGTGGGCGTATGATGTTATCACGGTTCTGTTAGAAGCTGAGCTGTTTGCTTATTGGCTTCCTTCCCAATTGTCGGGCTTCCAGCATAGGACGGGCCAGTCACTTCTCTGCTTGTATACTGGTCAGTTCCAGCAAGACACCAGATTGGGCTGGTGAATGGTGCTCATCTCCTTGTTTCTGCTATTGTATTCCCTCCTGTCCCATGGCCAGAGAGATTGTGAGCAGTGAATGTGTATTTACAAGGACATTCACCAAAGTTCAATGAAAGCAGCTGATGTCCCTGGATTCTAATACCCTGTGTCCCCGAAAGTAAGACCTAGCACTATCTTCAGAGATTTCTGTAATATAAGACCTACCCCCCAAAATTAGACCTAGTTCGGTGTTAGGGGGCGCACATGTATTGCTGCATCCAAGCAGCCAGCCAGGGGTCCGAGAGTAACGTTCAATTATAAGAGCAGCTGGTCTCCTGAAGTCTGCATGTATAAAACATGTCAAGGGCCGCAAAACATTTCATCCATACACGGCGGGGACTGAGCACCGTGCCGCAGCTCCCGCCCGCCCGCACACCTGTCTGCCTCGGCTTTTGCTTAGAGTGCTACCGCCGGGCAGAAAACTACATTTCCCAGTAGGCTGCGGCATGGCCAGTGGGGTCGGAGTGAGGTGAGGGAACTTCTGACTGGAGGTCCGTGCGACGAGGTGGCTCCCCGGACGGCATCAGAGAGGAGAACTCCAGGACAGCTGTGTGTGACACTATTTTTTCATTTTGTTGCACATTAAAAAAAAAAAAAAAAATAAGACCTCCCCCCAAAATAAGACCTAGTGTGATTTTTGGGGGGGAAAAATATAAGATAGTGTCTTATTTTCGGGGGAGCAAAACAAACGACAAACGCACTCAACAATTTGTTACCAGTTGTACAGTAAGGTGCACACGAAATGGGCTTTGAACAGTAGAACAGTAGAAAGGCATCATGGCACACTCACAAACTAGCATGTAAAACAACTTGTCTCACCACTAAGGACAATGACAGAGGTTTGGATACACGTCTTCTGCAAAGGATGTG